GGTTATCGTATGTGACCCATTTCTCATCTCCAGTCACCATCCGTTTAAGAAATGGGTCTATCTCATTCCATTTCTCATTTGGCCAAGGCTTCGCAGATGGAAATTCGATCCATCATGTTTTTTTCTGTTAATTGGTGTGGCACCCAAACATCGAGCTTCTTTTTGAATCCAGCTTTGTGTAAATGGTTTAAAACTGTTTTATGGTCGATTTTTAGCTCCTGGGCGATGTTACGACTGCTAACATGCCGGTCAACTTCGATCATTTCTCCGATTTTATCGACATTTTCGACGACCGGCCTACCTGTGCGAGGTGCATCTTTAACATCAAAAATTCCTGAACGGAATCTACGAAACCAAAATTGCACATAATTGGCTGTTACAGTATCGGAACCATAAACACCATTCACAATTTTAGCCACCTGGTTTGCATTTTCGCCTTTGTCAAAGAAAAACTGTAAAATGTATCGAATTTTCTCTTTGTTCACTTCCATTTTTAACACGCAACTGAATGCACCAAACAAAAAACAGCAAAAGAATTTTTTTTACTGCGAAATGTACAGTATGTAAATGTACAGTATCGGAAATTGTTTGATCGATACTTTACGAGAAATCTATCAGTGCAGCCATCTACCGAAAAAATAATGGATTTCTTTTTCCCTAAACTAATATTTACAATTTTTTTTTTTTAATCTTGGATTTAGTATAAATTTCATTAACAAATTATGCGAATTATTTAATAAGAATGAAAAATTAATAGATCATTATTAACACACGAATTTGGATCAATTCAGAAGGCATTTCTAAATCGATCGGTGTAATGAAATGCGATTTTCGGAAGTCTTTTTGGGTGTTGTGTATATCCGGACGTATCCTCAATATATTCTCATACCACATGCGCTTTAAAAAGGTTTTGAGACCCTTTCCTTTTTTTTTCAATTTCTTAAAATCCCTTGAAATCATTTCTACTGCATATACATCCATTCTTATGAGCGTCATGCTTGACTAAATTTGCTTTTCAACCATAATTGAGTCAAAGGGAAAAACGTTCTGTGGCATCGTTGGCTTCAAATTACCAAGGATACGAAAATCCGTTGCCACGACTAGTAACTAAATATTCCTTTAAGCATGTTTCACTTTTAGTATATCATTTTTAATAGAAGGAATTTTTAAAAAACTATGACTGATAACATCTTAAATCCTTCAGTTATAATAACTTTGGGTAAATATGTTAAAAAACCGGCATTAAGTGAAAAGATGCTGAAGAAGTCACCGTTTCGTTTTCTGCATGACGTCTTTAATGCGGTAAAAAACTATGAAATATTGATCCGATATTAAAGAAAATGAGATTTTTACAATTATTTTTAGGTTATAAGGGACGCAGGCTTTTTCGCGGGTTTGTACACGGCGGAAGAATTAAATTTTGAAAAATCATAGATCGTGAGGGGCAAATGCGATTTTTACAAAAAATGATTGATGTTGTTAGTAAGTTGCCTGGTGCTAATAGGTCTTTGAATCAAGAACATGGATTTATATTTGAAGTGGAACAAAGAAATCTCATCCTCAGAAAGAAAATTATAATAAACAAACGAAAATACCAAAAGTTACTGTGAATAAATAGAAAATATAAGACAAAGTTTAAAAATGAATTTATACTATTAAAAAACTCGTTTATAAATTACTTCCAACGATATTTAATACAAAGGACGAAACAAAGAAATGCCTTGTGAGATACAACCTGGAGTCGCTGAGCGCCAGGTTTTGGGCAAAATAGTCCTTCACAAGTGGCGTCCGACCAAGGACATATCTCAATGAAAAAAAAGACGATTGTGAAATAGGTGAAAATCGAACTAGAGAGAGAAGAAAATTGCACAAATGCACAAAAAAAAAAAATAATGTTTGGAAAAATCATAAAAGTTGAATTGAACTTTGAAATGGCAAGAAAGTGTTTTGCGAGCAATACTATGCTTAAAATACAAAAAAAAAATTTCTGATAAAATTTCCAAGAGGGAAAATTCATGGAACATCTGCAATTAAATCAGTGAATACTATTCAGAGACAAAACAAAAAAAATAAACAAGCCAGGTAAATCAAATCGTCAAAGGAAAATCTTAACAGCAATAATTTGTGCCCGCAGGTTCTCTTCTCGACACGCAATTAAGAAATTAATCTTAAGGTTTAACCATGTATGTATTTAATTTATTATGACTGCTAGACCTGGGCTCATGATTGAGCCTTATTTAAACCGAAAATCAAAAATTGGCACTTTTGAAATAGATAAAAAACACAATTAAAATTCATTGTGTCTTTGAGAAACAAGTAAGTAGATCATAGTCAAGCAAGGCCGACTTTAGATGTCCTGCATGATTTCGTCTAGTGCACTTATTCGCCAAAAATTGCACATTATTTTCATGCAAAGGCATGCTTTTCATGAAAGCCCAAGAAAGTATTTTGGGAAATGGCCAAAACATCACATTGGCGTCTGATTCAAATCAAGCAACAATTTTATTATTTTTCCATTTCCAAAATTAAAAATTGGACTTTCTTGAGGGCTTGCTTTTCGTAATAATCCCTATATATGTTAGAGTCTAAAAAATACACCCACCTCATCCAAATTCCATGCCTTTAATTTTTTGGCTAAATTGCCACCATTTCGTCATAAACTTCGTTAAAAACTTACTGTGGGACTCACTATTCGTGAGAACTCTTACATAGAGTGGAGAAAAAGTTGA